CTAGAACTCAGGTTAATATTATGAGCAACATCTCACGTCTTTGGCGTGCACAGAAACCTATGATTGTGGGTTCGAATCCAGGTTCGCCCCGATTATGTTTCTAGGTTTGTCAGCACCATACCCGTGCTCTTGTTTTTCACCGAAGTGGTAAACGTCTGAGACCTGCATCACTTCGGGCTTTCCTCCTCACATAAAGCTGACACGCCGCGATATAACTGGAATACTGTTAAAAGCGGCGGTAAACCCAACTCACTCACTCACTCACTCTTCGGCGTGCGATGAGACGCAGTCAATCAAGTCAGGGAGCCTGACCACCCGATCCGTGTGTAGCCTCGTCCGACAAACTCTGGTTGCTGAGGACCTATTCTAACCCGGAATCCCCAGGCATTGTTGACAGATAAACATTGTGACGTGTTTTGTGAGGCGCTCGTGCAGCTCGTGCAGCTCGTTGGAAGAATGAGTATCTCAGCACAGTGTCATTACCATCACCTCGAGTCCATTCATAGTGTCGCTCAGTGATGTAATGGTTGATGCAGTTTACGACAAGATAATGTTTGTTTGTTTGTTGTTTAACGCCACACTCAGCAATATTCCTGCTATATGACGGTGGTCTGTAAATAATCGAGTCTGGACCAGACAATCCGGTGATTGACATCATTAGCATCGATCCACGCAATTGGGATCGATGACATGCATCAACCAAGTCAGCGAGCCTGACCAACCGATCCCGTTAGTCGCCTCTTACGACAAGCATAGTCACCTTTTACAGCAAGCATGGGTTGCTGAAGATCTATTCTACCCCGGATCTTCACGGGTCGACAAGATAATGATTAATGCAGTTTTCGACATGGGATTCACCCAGGTCACATGGAGGCACACAATCTGAAATCCTAAATCACGGCGCACCTCCATATACCTTAGTTAACACCTTGAGGAGGTAATTGGGGACGTAGTTGATGCATGTCATCGGATCCAAATTGCATGGATCGATGCTCATGATGTCAATCACTGTATTATCTAGTCGGCACTCAATATTCACAGACCGCCCTCATGTAGCTGGAATATTGCTGAGTGCGGCGTTAAACGACAAACAAACAAACAAAAACAACAACAACAGATTCCTGACCACTCATCCGTCTCCAACCCGTTTCATGACGTGCTGATGCAAGTGTAAAAGGAGACACATTTATTGTATCCAAGTGATGCACTTTGGTGGTAATTAGCGATGTATCCAATCTTTGCTTTATACCCGGTTTTGCTGTTGACACGACCCCTGCTATATCGATGTGGTAATTAGCGATGTATCCAATCTTTGCTTTATACCCGGTTTTGCTGTTGACACGACCCCTGCTATGTCGATGTGTTAATTAGCGATGTATCCAATCTTTGCTTTATACCCGGTTTTGCTGTTGACACGACCCCTGCTATGTCGATGTGTTAATTAGCGATGTATCCAATCTTTGCTTTATATCCGGTTTTGCTGTTGACACGACCCCTGCTATGTCGATGTGTTAATTAGCGATGTATCCAATCTTTGCTTTATACCCGGTTTTGCTGTTGACACGACCCCTGCTATGTCGATGTGTTAATTAGCGATGTATCCAATCTTTGCTTTATATCCGGTTTTGCTGTTGACACGACCCCTGCTATGTCGATGTGTTAATTAGCGATGTATCCAATCTTTGCTTTATACCCGGTTTTGCTGTTGACACGACCCCTGCTATGTCGATGTGTTAATTAGCGATGTATCCAATCTTTGCTTTATACCCGGTTTTGCTGTTGATACGACCCCTGCTGTGTCGATGTGGTAATTAGCGATGTATCCAATCTCTGCTTTATACCCGGTTTTGCTGTTGATACGACCCCTGCTGTGTCCGATGTGTTTTCCACTGTTTAAACTTGACAATAAGAAACTCGAAAACTTTTCATGTTTGTTTATATGCCTTGCAGTTACTAATACAAAATGGAATTTTGTTGTTTAATGCCGCACGCAACACTATTGTAGCTATATGACGGCGGTTTGAAAATGACTCAGGCTCGACCAATGGTTGACATTGGGAGCAAAACCCAAAGTCGGCTGAGAGAGATGACACAGAATGTACCAATGCTCGCATGAACGTCAATTTGATTTGGTATCAAATATCATTAAACACACGAAGTTTGTCACTGAAGACTGCAGCAAATACAATGATAGTCATATTTTATAAAAATATCGAGAGGTTGTCTGAATAATTATAGATTGTTAACTTCTGTTTGACAGAAAATATTAAAACACTTCAAAAGTCTCGTACTTTTCTCATGTAAAATACCCATTCAAACACCCATCTTCCCAGTTCCTTCAAGTTGTAAGTAAGTTTTCTCTGCCTGATGTGGGGGGCACGGGTGGCCCAGTCGTCTAAGGCGCCGTGATTCACTGTGCAGAGTTGCGTCCCTTGGGCACGCCAGAAACCTATGATTGTGGGTTCGAATCCCGGTTCGCCTCGATTTTCTAGGTTTGTCAGCACCATACCCGTGCTCGTGGGTTTCACCGAAGTGGTAAACGTCTAAGACCTGCATCACTTGGGGCTTTCCTCCCACATTAAGCTGACACGCTGTGATAAAACTGTAATAAAGCGGCGTTAAACCCAACTCATTCACTCTGCCTGATGTAAGAAAGGTTTCTAGGGGTTGTATCCGACGTGTATAAACGATAATCATCTTCCTTCTGCATCTGCTTGTTTTACCGCTACACACCAACTGGTTTAGAAGGGCTGTAAAATATATTTCTTTAATAACTTATCGAGGTGAGTTTTCAAATTTTCTACACTGTTGAAATTTTTTATTTTCTTTACTTTTTCGACAATTTTTGTAAGATATGTTGACTTACTTTCATATTTCATATTAAACCATATGTGCATTTAACACAAAAACTAAGATTAGGACTCACAGACGCAGGCTAGGATCAAGGGACATAACTCCTCCAACCTTAAAGGGCGAACTAGTGCCGCTATGGTTCTCACTGCTTGTTTGTTTGTTGTTTAACGCCGCACTCAGCAGTATTCCAGCTATATGACGGCGGTCTGTAAGTAATCGAGTCTGGACCAGACAATCCAGTGACTGACATCATGAGCATCGATCCACGCAATTGGTATACGATGACATGCTTCAACCAAGTCAGCGAGCCTGATCCTGTTAGTCGCCTCTTACGACAAGCATAGTCGCCTTTTACGGCAAGCATGGGTTGCTGAAGACCTATTCTACCCTGGAACTTCACGGGTCGTTCTCACTGCTTTTCCTTATCGTCCACTGTTCCAAGGACAAACAACGATGTACCCGGTCAGGTCAAACGTCCTCGGTCTCAAGGGGAACCAAGAGAAGGACTCTAATAAGTAAAATAGTTCTGTGTCTGCTGATTTCAAACTGTGTCTCACAAAAAAATCGAAATAATAAATGTGTACCACTCAGAAACTTTTAAACCCGCCTGGGGTCAAGATGGAAGCAGATTTCGAAATTCTTTTTAAGACCAGTCAAGAGAACTAGCGTAAATCTTATCTCACAAGTCCTCAAAGGTTGTAGCTAGTCCTGTTCGATCCCCGGCCGCGTCATACCAAAAGACGTTAAAAGATGGTACTTGTTGTTACCCTGTCTGGCGCTCGGCATTAAGGGGCTAAAACAAGGACTGGTCGGCTCGGAGTCAATATACTGTGTCTGAGTTTGGGTATTCATGTTAAACTGCGGCATGGTATCTCAGTGTGCTAGCACTATAAATCGGCATCAGTCCGGACTAGTACAAGCAGCCACACACACACGTACATGCACGTCGCTATATAAGTGCAGTAATCTTGGACGCGACATTAAACCCAATTTCACCTCACCTCACCTATGCATTGTGAACTGGTTCAGAATTATATTCCTCCAAACTACTAGTCAATAAGTTGGCCGCGATGGCTGCAAAATTGCTGATGCGGCGTTAAGCAATATTCACTCACTCACTAGTCAATAAGGACTATTATCACTGGATTTTCACTTGTCCCCAGCACAATTTTGTTGTCTCGGGGTAGCGGTCTAGCGTAATGGCCGTGGAAGGGGAAATGGTGATCTCCAATACCGAGCAGTGATAAGGTTCTTAATACCAGGCACCCAACAGGAATTGCATGATCGGATGTTACAATGTTATGGACATTCGTCACCACTCGCCCCTTTCCGTAACCGCTATTCGACTTGTCCCTGAATAACACGAGTTGGTCACGAATGTGTTATGGAGACAACGTCCATCACCTACTATCACCTGTAGCAATCCATATCTTTCTTATCATTTGATGTCCATTTTTTGAGTAGCCAGAAAAACGAGTTGATGCATACATTATTGTTAATGATTAAAGTTACATTTTTTGTTATATTGACATGACGGTGAAAGAAGTAAAACAACTTTCACTAATAATATTAAAAACACAATCTTTAAATATATGCATATATGAGGGAAAATAAAGAGTAAGATATTATGACGTACATCTTTCCAGCCTGTCATTGAATGTATAAAAGAAGCATACTTTTATACTTTTTAGAGATGGCGATCGAAGTCCCCAATACTTTCCACATAAATAAAAAATACCATAATTAATGATACAGGACTTCTCGCTGTCAGAAAACACGTATAAATCATATAATAATCTTTCAAAAAGTGTTTTCTATTTTGACCGACGGTATAAAACATACGTCAAATAATAGTCTAAACACCGCAGTGCCTGAAAGAAAACAAATCAAGCGCATACTTTTCAGTGACATCAATGCCATGCGTTCGTTTGACTGGGCACCTGTCTACCCAAAAGAGCAAAGCTTGCTGCGCGACTTAACAGTAGAACCAGTTTAATCCTCTTTCTCACTCTTGACAACATTTCATTCAGTTTATATATTTGCGACTTTTTGTAATGTGTGTTAGAGATATATAATAATATACTACATGAGATCTGAGCATTTGAAATGTCCATCGCAAACGAGATTTCCATGTCGCCATGGTCACGGCGTAATCACCGCCATCTTGTTTGTGGATAATGGCTGGACGTACTTCGAAGCTAAGATATGCGTGAAATTTTACAGTAGCAGTCCTTCCTAAACATTAAAATGGCAACTCAAACACAAACACTACGTGGGAAAGCTAGCCTTAATCCTTCCAGGACCCACGATTACCTGTATGGTATGTATTTAGATTTTAATATGATACAATTTCGAGTTTGAGGGTCAATGTTTACACTAAGTTAGGGTTATTTATCCCTGCTTACAGACAAGTTAAATCGTTGCTGTTTTCGTTGAATCAGAATGTGGTCACAGGAAAAATATGTTGTCTTAATTCTGATTTCATCATTGCTGTGAAAATACTTGGACTAAATGAGCAGATCAATCATAGAACCGTTGGAAATGTTGCAGGTAGATTACAGTTATGTGACATGACTATGAAAAGTATAGTATAGACTCCCTTGACGTCCATTCTTGCAAAAATAGTTTCCACAGGTTTATTTGCGGATAAAAAACATTCGATTTGGAATGTAGGAAGTGAAAAGGAATGTGTATGACTCACGACTACAAGAGATGCAGGTTATTGCTTCCCACAAGTAGTGTATTAAACTTTGATTTTGTATATCTTGAAAATAACAAGAAGAAATGGGCACTATATTTTTTTAATGTATCTGCAAGTTATGGGTTTTCAAGCCCTTAAGAATTATTTCTGAAAAGAGTTCCTTTTGTCCCCTGACCTGTTTTTTATTTTTATTTTTTTGCATAGGTAATCATGGTAATATAATGGGAAAAAACAGGTTGGGGTAACAAAAGGAACTCTTATTGTATTTTTGATTAAGTGTCTAATAGCAATCCCAATACACTAAAATTAAGTCTTACCTTTCAGAACTTATTTCCATTAACACTTCGATAAATATCCCTGCTTGTTATTTTTGTAATTCCTTGCCGAGTGAGTCAAGTAGATAAGGCTCCATCTTGTTACTGCCCCTTGATTTTGAGCCCTCCATTACAGTCAAGTTAAAAGTAGTTGCACAATATGGTAACTCACATGACATTACAGACAGGAAGTTTACAAACAGCTGCCGTCGGTGCATCCAATTGTTTTGATGAAAAATTATCATCAGATCTGTATGATTAAAATGTGCATTTGTGAAAGAGTAAGTTTTGAGGTATGTTTTCATTACTTACCGAATATCTTTCCTTGTGTAGCTTAATTCGCAACACATCTTCAGCGGCAAGCGGCAAACAATTTGATGTCTTCATTGGGCTTTGAAGCATCTACTTTGATTGTATCATAAAGCATGTGGTCACGTATATGGTCTCAAAATGAGGTGAGGCTTGAAAATGTGTGATGTAATGATACTGTAACTGTCTTTTGAAATGCAGGCCAGTTGACTGGAACACTGTTCTTAATGTTTGGGGCCCCGGTGGCTCAGTTGTCTAATACCCCGTTCACATGACAACATTTACTAATGTAAGTAATTTTACACATGTTTAGCTAATACATACGTTTATATATGTAAATTTAATATGCGTTGTGAACGGGGTATAAGGCGCAGCACTTCACTGTGCAGGGTTGTGTCCCTTAGGTGTCCCAGGAACCTATGATTTGGGGTTTACAGATTTTGTTTCTGGGTTTTTCAGCAACATACCCGTGCTCATGTGATCCAACGTTTGAATCCCGGTTCACCCTGATTATGTTTCTAGGTTTGTCAGCACCATACCCATGCTCGTGGGTTTCACCGAAGTGGTAAACGTCTGAGACCTGCATCACTTTGGGCTTCCGCCCACATCAAGCTGACAAGCAGTGTTATAACTGAATTAATGCTCAAAGCGACCAAAAAGACTCTAAAAGATGTTATTAAGGGACAAAAACAAGGATTGGTGAGCTAGGGGTCAGTACACTGCGTATGGAGTATCCATGTTAAATTGCTGCATGGTATTTCAGTGGGCTGGCAATATAAAACCAGTAGAAGTCTGGACTTGTACAAGCAGCCACACACACATGCATGCTCATCGTTATAGGCCATCTCACCTCACCTGAAAGCCAGACTCACTCATTGACTGTTACTGTTTCAGACTCCCACTATGTGCTGGCCAGTGAGAGAGATCATGCCAGGGCCACGTTTAAAGCCCACACAAGTACAGACAGGGTTGTAAGTAAAATAGAAAAACTACCTGTTACAATTACCTGTTACAACTGTTATGTTGTTGGAACCGATGCTCAAGAACGCATCACATGTGACGTCATAGAGCCATGACACGAGATGCACCATTTGTCTCGTGCAGGATTAGCATGTAAAGTTTGGAAATCACGTGCAGCATATTGTGATAAGAATAAAGACATGCTGTTGTAACACTTGACTGATTGTAAGTTCTGTCATTAAGGAGTACACAATGGAAACATCTCTTCTTAATGTACATACCGTATTCGACGTAATAAGCGCCCCGTTCTAATAAGCTCCCACAGCGATATTTGCTAATATATTGGCTTGTGAACAATCCCAATTAGCACCCCTTCCGACTATCAATGAACACAAGACCTATTTATTTGTGTATAATACGCACTCGTGTGTAATATGCACCCTCAATTATGGGCAATTAAATTCTGGAAAAATATATCGGTCGTATATAAACATTTCAGGCTGTCAGCATAAACCACAAAATTTATCTTTCAACTCTGTTATTTTCACCAAAATAATATTCTAATAAGAGCCGACGGGGGGAAAGGAGATATTTCTAATGTTGAGAGCGCCTTGGGTGCTTATTATGACGAATACGGTACTTCTCTATGTTTCTATGGTACACGTTTCTTTTGCCGGTGAGTATATGTACAGCCTTTTGACTGATATTGAAGTCCATGTTATGACTGCAAGCTTGAAATATTATTCATGAGACAAGGTGCATCCTGGGATGCAATACCTTATTTAGACTGTCAGTCTGTTGTCATTCAGGGTTATCTACACACATTCGGAGTCATCGTCCTTATCAAGACTCACTGTTATTTTTTAATAAGCTTTGTAAACACAATTTTTAAAGTTACACATCAGTGGATTTCTTTGTCTTTAAAATCTTGGCGATGAAAAATAAATTAAAGCAAATATGTTTTAATATTGGCTGATGAAAATAGGTTGTGTCAGATGTGACTTTTGGAAAATGATTTTGATTATTTTGGATGAGAGTCACATCAAATGTGCATAGGGGCGGTCGGGTAGTCTAGTGGTTAGAGCGTTCGCTCGTCACGCCAAAGACCTGGGTTCGATTCCCGACATGGGTACAATTTGTGAAGCCCATTTCTGGTGTCCCCCGCCATGATATTGCTGGAATATTGCTAAAATCGGCGTAAAACCAAACTCACTCAATCACTCAAATGTGCATTATTTCTGCATCCTGGTCACTGGTGTCAAAATTGCAGCAATGCACAATCCTGCACCTCCTGGTAATGAACTTGCCAATAACATTCTCCCTCCAGAAACGTGTGCCCAACTACACGACGATGTTTAGCGAGCTTCGTCATCACCCCAGATTTGGAATGCGTCTGGATGTGACGGATCCCGTGCCCAAGTTTATCTCCCGCCAGTGGCGCGGCTATGCAGACCAGCAGAGAGAAGCTCTCATCAGATACACAACGTGAGGAAATCTAACAAACCTAGCTTCGAGTCTGAAGTTGAAATAATTTGAGATGTTATTTCTGAATAGCAAATGTTACAATGAGCCAAAACTAAGAGTGGATGTTAGGTTGCTTTCATGTTTATTACCTGTATAGAGAATGTTTGAATCTAACACTGGTCCGTTGTCCCAGTTGGGTTAATCTTCACCGGGACCAGTTGTATAACTGTACTAGTGGGACTGTGCTCAAGTCTTATGTTAATTAAGTAAGAAACGGAAATCTGGCACAAACTGTACCCATTTGCAACCTCAACAACACTGCATGGCATATTGTGTATATCGAGAATCTAACCCAAGTGTCTGTTGATATCAACTATATCAACCAGAGTTGATGAAAGTTGAAGGGCGGTCAGGTAGTCTAGTGGTTAAAGCGTTTGCTTGTTACGCCTAAAACCCAGGTTCAATTCCCAACCTGGGTACAATGTGTGAAGCCCATTTCTCCTGTTTCTGCCGTAATATTTGCTGGAATATTCTTAAATATTGCGGCATAAAACCAAACTCACTCCCTCACTGATGAAAGTTTAAAACTACTTTTGTGGAGGAGTGTTAAACTTATATCGACTGTTGTTGATATATTTAACATCCAACAACACATTGGTTTTCTTCCTGGTTGGACCTGTGAAGATCAGGACAGAGAATAGGTTTTTAACAGCTCATGCTTGTCGTAAAAGACGACTATGCTTGTCGTTAGAGGCGACTAATGGGATCGGGTGGTTGATTGATCGTATCCGAATCGCGTGGATTGATGCTCATGATGTCAATCACTGGATTGTCTGGTCCAGACACGATTATTTTTCAGACCGCCGTCATATAGCTCAAATATTGCGTTAACAAACAAACAAATCTGGTTGTTGATTGTGGCTGAGGGGGCACGTGTGGCCCAGTAGTCTAAGGTGTCGCGATTAGCTGTGCAGAGTTGTGTCCCTTGGGCACGCCAGAAACCTATGATTGTGGGTTCGAATTCCGGTTCACCCGGATTATGTTTCTAGGTTTGTCAGCACCATACCCGTGCTCGTGGGTTTCACCGAAGTGGTAAACGTCTGAGACCTGCATCACTTTGGGCTTTCCTCCCACATTCAGCTGACACGCCGTGATATGACTGGAATACTGTTAAAAGCGGCGTTAAACCAAACTCACTCACTGATTGTGACTGTGGTTGGGCAAACAAGGAAAGAAAAGAGTATATAAAGTGTTGCAATAGTTTGTATTTGATGACACTGGACTTGAAAACAGAAGAAGTGGACTTTGAGTGTGCTGATACAGTTCCTGCAAGTTTAGTGCAACTGGTTTTTTTTAGCTTCAACTATGACCCGTCTGTGCAAGTTTCATCCAAGCATTTTGCCAATGCTGAAGTTGCTGGCAGAAACAGATACAAGTTCTTCAAGAGGTAAGATTGAGATTCCTTAAAACAAGTTACACTAACATGAAAGTTGTTAACAGATTTACCATGGTTTTTGCTGGAGACAAATGGAAATATGACATTTTCATCATTTTATCAGCTTTTGATAGGATTTTTTCTATATCAATAACAAATTTGGAAAATATCTTTAGGACATTTTGGATGGTAATCAGTAAATATCTTAGAACATGTGTTAGAAAGTGGACAGGCCCCGATGATAAGTTAAAAAATGGATTTAAGTCGGAGTTTTGACTCAAATTTGAAAAAACTGAGCAAAATGCATTTCTAAAACAAAACTGAGTTCAGTTTTTGGCTTAGACTTAGTTCAAACCATGTAAAGCCTATGTATGTTAGCCTACATGGTAACTTATGTTTTAATATGGATATAAATGGCGATTGCTAATAGACATAAGGGGAGATTGAGATGGAGACAGTTTTTTTGTAGGGGCTTACCGATCATGAAACACCTCGGACAAAGATTTATTCCTTACATTTAGGCTTTGGACATAAACGACTATACATCGTGTCTCGTGTCCAACAGCTCTTTTTTTGCTGAGTTTAATTCAAGAAACGCTATTGAGTTATAAAATCAGCAGAGTTTTCTTTGCAAACTCTTTGTAAGATTTGAGTAAAAATCGGGGCCAGATCTGTAACCCTGAATAAGTGTTTAGTTGACAGGGGCTTGGTGGCCCAGTTGTCTAAGGCATCATAATGTGCAGAGTTGTGTCCCTTGGCATGTTGATCATGTGTTTTGCTCTTATTGTGATCCATGGTTTGTCTACACCATAGAGTTTCACCAAAGTGTTGAGTGTCTAAGACCTGCATCACATCAGACTTTCCCCCACATTAAGCTGACACGCCATGTTTAACTGAAATACTGTTGCAGAAAGAGGAAACAGCATCCCCTGGTGGTATCAAAGCAACATCGACATAGCATTCAAAATTCATGCCAGTCTGCTAGCCTGAGACTACTAAATTGTGCTGTGGACAAGTTATAATCCAATAATGTTAGAGGCACATTTTTCTTAACCAGCTCTCAATGCTTACAGGGGCGGTCGGGTAGCCTAGTGGTTAAAGCGTTCGCTCGTCACGCCGAAGGCCCGGGTTCGATTCCCGACATGGGTACAATGTGTGAAGCCCATTTCTGGTGTCCCCCGCCGTGATATTACTGGAATATTGCTAAAAGCGGCATAAAACCATACTCACTCACTCACTCACTCACTCACTCACTCACTCACTCACTCAATGCTTACAATTTGCTACGAATTGGAACTGTATAAAACTGACAGTACATGTAAACAGAGTAAACAGTTATGTCTCAGTCATTCAAGCAGGATTTGTTTTAGACCAAGAAACCTTGTTTCACTAGTCTTGACTAGTCTTAAATATATTTCTGAGGCTGCCGTAATGGCAGTTATTACAGTTGTATACATTTCTGCTAGAATCAGACAACTTGCCACAGAGTCAGATAGATACATGTGGCTCCGGTGCTCTGATGTTTGTCTTTTCAATTTCAGACCAATCATCCCGTTTCTGCAGCAAGTTCCTCCTGAGGTCCTGCTGGCCACATCAAGGTAGAGAACAGCCTTTTAAAATCTGCTGGGGACTCCACAGAGAAGAGGTCCCCATGCTTGTCTCCAGATGGGGATTCCATGGCAGAACCGATCCCTCGTACACCATGCTTGTCTCCCAATGGGTTTCCAGGGCAGTACAGGTCCCCAGTACCCCTTGCTTCTCTCCCAGTGGGGATTCAAGGGCAGAATAGGTCCCAAGTACCCCAATCTTGTTTCCCAGTGGGGATTTCAGGGCAGAATAGGTCCCCAGAACTCCATGCTTGTCTCCCAGGAGGGATTACAGGGCAGAATAGGTCCCCAGAACTCCATGCTTGTCTCCCAGGGGGGATTTCAGGGCAGAATAGGTCCCCAGTACCCCTGGCTTGTCTCCCAGGGGGGATTTCAGGGCAGAATAGGTCCCCAGAACTCCATGCTTGTCTCCCAGGAGGGATTACAGGGCAGAATAGGTCCCCAGAACTCCATGCTTGTCTCCCAGGGGGGATTTCAGGGCAGAATAGGTCCCCAGTACCCCATGGTTGTCTCCTAGTGGGGATTACAGGGCAGAATAGGTCCCCAGTACCCCAATCTTGTTTCCCAGTGGGAATTTCAGGGCAGAACAGGTCCCCAGTTCCTGATTTTAACAATACTAAAAACTGGCTGACCACAGTAACACATTGTTTCCATTTATTTTAAAGTTTTATTACAACATTAAAACATTTCATTAAACCTCATTGATTTCCCTGGCAGACAAGATCCCCTGGCCGGCCCTGACCAGGTCCAGATGGAGCGACCTCCGACACCCCTGGTGAAGACCGTGGAGACACAGACTGATTATCGTGACTCTGAGGCTCAGACTGACCCCTACACCCCCGAGTATGTGGTGAGACCAGGGGAGGCGCCGGAACTCCTGACTCTAGCTACATTGTCATACGGTGAGTTGTACACTGGTGGCATGACTGACCCCTACTCCCCCGAATATGTGGTGTGACCAGGGCAGGCGCCGGAACTCCTGACTCTAGCTACATTGTCATACGGTGAGTTGTACACTGGTGGCATGACTGACCCCTACTCCCCCGAGAATGAGGGGTAATGAATATCTTATATCACTAGTCCTCAGACTTTTAAGCCTGTTCTGCTCGAACAAGACAAAAGAGGTTACTATGTTTGATTCAGTTCTGATTTATAGCAAAATTGAAGCGTTGAGAACTGGTTCCAAATCATGGACCTCAGATGTTTATAGTACTCATTTAGGACTAAAGTCATGAATGTTTTACTTGTCACAGTTTAGTAGTCTAAGGCAAGCAGACAAGCGTGAATTTTGATATACTGTAAATCTTGAAATAAAATGTGAAAGATGCGAGTGGTCTTCGCTTGCATTCTTAAACATCGCATTTAATTAAGGTGAGGATTCTAAACCTGACTGAGGACATCTTTAGATAGAAATCCACTGGTGCTTGAGAGGAGCGGGTGTCGCATTCATATTGAGTCGCATTGTTGGCTAGGGTCCAGTGGTCGCATTCTTTTGGAGACGCATTAATTTCACGATTTACAGTAATTATAATACAGATATAACACTCTGGATAATAGAGGATGGAGTTCACCGTCTATGAGTAATGCTATCTCACTATGACACTGTGTGTGACGTCTTGGAATCTGTTCAGGTCGGGGTCTCCCAGCTGGGCTTGCTGAGGTTGAAATGATTGAACGTGCACGAGCCAAGCGGGCATGGGAGGCAACTCTGCCGCCCCTGAGCGACACGTCTCAGCTGGACAAGAGACGTCGCATGATGGATGAGATGGAGACGAAGGAATGGGCGCTGAGAGAACAGGAGATTGAAAAGTAAGTAGGGACATTTCTGACTTCAAGTTGTTATTTGGACCTGTCGTTTGTGTTTTGCTGTCTAGCCATGATCAACTGAAATGTGACTGCCTCCCTGGTCTAGTGGCAGAGCGTCCATCCGGAGAGAGGAAGGTCTGGGGTTTGAACCCCGGCTGCATCATACCAAAAGACGTTATGATTGTTTGTTGTTGGTTCGTTGTTTAACCCCGCACTCAGCAATATTCCAGCTATGACGGCGGTCTGTAAATAATTGAGACAATCCAGTGATTGACGTCATGAGCATCGATCCACGCAATTAGGATCGATGACATGCGTCAACCAAGTCAGTGAGCCTGACCACCCGATCCCGTTAGTCGCCTTTTACAACAAGCAAAGACGTTATAAGATGGTACTTGTTGTTACCCTGAACTTGTTGTTCCATAGCAGAGACATCCATAATGGTTTTTTACAAGAACTAGAGTTACCTGCCCTTGTTGAGAACATGGACACTGATGGAACTGTTTCTAGTAGACTGGCTATACCCATATAAGAATCAGGGCAAATCAAGTCTTTTATTGACCTAATCTCATTAAAATCAGATCATAGATCTCACTACCGCTAAACAAAGATCTCAGATCATCCCATTGGTATAATCCAATAATGTTGGAGGGTCACAGAGTCAGATATATGCATGTGTCTCCAATGCTCTGAAGTTTGTCAAATCCCATTGCGGGTCACTTGACATCCCCAATCTTATTAAGATCAGATCTTAATTTTCGCTACTGCTAACCAAAGATCTGAGGACATCCCATTATGGGTCACGTCAGAATGACCTTTCGCGAACATTGACCGACCAATGAAATGACTGACATGAAATCAACATTAGCCAATCAGAAGGCAGCTATCTCGAGCTTTACAGCACTAGTTTCAAACTGGCGACTACGCTTCCAAACATATATTGACGTATTCTCGATTAAAAAATTTAAAACTGACCAAAACAACATTCTGGAATGGCTCATAGATGGCCTAGAATGTATGGATATAATCATAAAACCCGTAACTGTCGTTCAGAATACCCCGTGTTAAATATTGCGAGGTTGCATGATTAGAAAACACATTCCGACTGTCACTTTCAGTATCTGGTAAGCGACGCTCTGATTGGTTTGATGAAAGCACGTGCTGACGTGACCCGTAATGGGATGTCCTCAGATCTTTGTTTAGCGGTAGCGACAACTAAGATCTGATTTTAATGAGATTGTTGACACCCCTTTACCAGCCGTTCAGGGATTTGGGGCCACTGACAATGACCGCGAATAAATTCACAACAGTTTCACTCCCACCAAAATGACTGACCTGTGACACGGTGTTCAGACTGCAGGAGGCCAGGCTGGAGGTGCTGAAGAAGCTGCTGAAACACAGGGAGGAGAACCACCAGGAGCTCAACATAAAGAGACTCGATAAACTCTGGTCAGTTCCACTCACAAATTAGGCAACAAACCTGTATAATTCTACCAAGGTCGCACTTCATAAATGTTTTAATGATTGAACACTGTTATAAAGCAGTTATCAGTGTCTTGATATTAATTGGGGCGGTCGGGTAGCCTAGTGGTGAAAGCGTTCGCTCGTCACGCCGAAGACCCGGGTTCGATTCCCGATATGGGTACAAGTTGTGAAGCCCATTTCTGGTGTCCCCCGCCGTGATATTGCTGGAATATTGCTAAAAGCAGCGTAAAACCCCACTCACTCCTCACTCACTCACTTGATATTAATTCCCATCATCAACTGTAATCCGTTGTAAATATAGCATGGTCAAAAGGGAGGTAATTTGCTGAGGGTGAAGCAGTTGTCTCCCTTGATCTGGAACTAATTTCTTGTCTGTATTTCCTCAAAGGTCCAAGAAACAGAGAGAGAAGGAACACCGTGTGAGGAAAATCAGGAATGAGCACATCAAGAGTAAGTATAGCGTGTGGGAAAAACAAACATAACTGAAACACAGCTTAATGGGCACGAGGACTTTGGCAGTGCAGCGTTCTTATAACTGAAACACAGCTTAGACAGGCACGAGGACTTTGGCAGTGCAGCGTTCTTATAACTGAAACACAGCTTAGACAGGCACGAGGACTTTGGCAGTGCAGCGTTCTTATAACTGAAACACAGCTTAGACAGGCACGAGGACTTTGGCAGTGCAGCGTTCTTATAACTGAAACACAGCTTAGACAGGCACGAGGACTTTGGCAGTGCAGCGTTCTTATAACTGCAACACAGCTTAGACAGACACGAGGACTTTGGCAGTGCAGCGTTCTTATAACTGAAACACAGCTTAGACAGGCACGAGGACTTTGGCAGTGCAGCGTTCTTATAACTGAAACACAGCTTAGACAGGCACGAGGACTTTGGCAGTGCAGCGTTCTTATAACTGAAACACAGCTTAGACAGGCACGAGGACTTTGGCAGTGCAGCGTTCTTATAACTGAAACACAGCTTAGACAGGCACGAGGACTTTGGCAGTGCAGCGTTCTTATAACTGAAACACAGCTTAGACAGGCACGAGGACTTTGGCAGTGCAGCGTTCTTATAACTGAAACACAGCTTAGACAGGCACGAGGACTTTGGCAGTGCAGCGTTCTTATAACTGAAACACAGCTTAGACAGGCACGAGGACTTTGGCAGTGCAGCGTTCTTATAACTGAAACACAGCTTAGACAGGCACGAGGACTTTGGCAGTGCAGCGTTCTTACTCTCGGATAGCATTTTCACTCGAAAATTAGGAAAAGTCTATCTATCCTCCTTTGCTGAAGTCAACCGATTGTTTGTTTTTTGGGGCAAGTGAGATGAGTGTTTGACCACTTTGTGGTGGTATGTGGCCATGTGTATAGCACAGGTCGCAAAACTGTTTATTTTCAGATGTGCCTGCTTTGGAAAGTTGGTAGATAAGCAATTTGGCAACATTGACTCCGGAAACATTGGCCCACACTGTCATACAGCTTATTTAACTGTTTTTTTAACTGAATTTGTGTGGAATTTGCAGTGAATGGGTACCCGGTAGGATGTGAATGCAGACTTTGCCTTACAGGCAGTTTGAGTTTTATTCTTCCCAAGTCGAAAAATCAATTTGAATACATACAGATCTGTTGACTGGGTATATAATTGTGTTATACCATGAACATGTATTATTATTATTGTTATTGCTGTTGTTGTTGTTATATTATTATTATTATTATTATTATTATTATTATTGCTGTTGTTGTTTTTATTATTATTGTTGTTGTTGTTGTTGTTGTTGTTATTATTATTATTATTATTATTATTATTATTATTCAGTGATCAGGAAACTAACGGGGAAACGTGAACACGTTGAGGGGAAACTCCAGCGCCGAGACGTGATTCAGGACTACTCCGACTTCGCCTCCCAGAGCTATGCTCCCAAGACGAGAGTGGGCATCTTCATTGACCGGGGTTCTGAGCAGTTTGTTGTCAAGAGCAGGCATCTCACCACGTACCAGGGTTGGTAACAGTTTACTTCATGTTAAAAGGGGCGGTCGGGTAGCCTTAGTGGTTAAAGCGTTCGCTCGTCACGCCGAAGATCCGGGTTCGATTCCCGACATGGGTACAATGTGTGAAGCCCATTTCTGGTGTCCCCCGCCGTGATATTGCTGGAATATTGCTAAAAGCGGCGTAAAACCATACTCACTAACTCACTCACTTTTGAGTTGAGAATACAAATATTTAAACCCGCTCACTGTATTTTATTTATTTTTAAGGTGCCTAGAGTATCATGCAATAAATATATATATATATATACATGTTTATTTATCATTTCAAATTTGAGGCTCAGGAATACAGTAAATTACCTTTGTAACAAACACACTTAAAAAAACATATTTTTCTTTGTTGTATATATGCTTATAATGAACTATGGTTATAATGAACTAATATTAGTTCGAGTTCGTTGTAACCGTAGTAATGACAATGTTTTAATTATCAATAAGTGAGATGCAGCACCTTGTGATTGCAATATTCACAGCAGTAAATAAGATCTGTGAGGAAATGTAGGTAGATAAGTTGAAAATTTAAGCACAGTGTTACCACTTGGTTTTTGAAATTGTTCATGTGTATTTGTATGGAAACAGCTCAACATTAATTGGGTAATGGTGATTTATTTTACATATTTTATGCAAGTACGGAGGTTATATGGAGCAGTGGTGTCTACTTTAGGTCTGTTGGAGTTGGAGGCGTCACTGCCCGACTTTGTGATGCAGCCCCGGGTGAAGGCCCCCAAGCCCAAGACGGTCACCAAGGCTGGCTTCATCAAGCGCAAGTACCGCCAGCAGAGGGAGCTGATGGAGATGCACGAGGTAGGATGCTGACATGTCACTCACTCCGTCCCTGGCCAACAGTTGGAATTGCAGAGTTGTATCCCTTACTTGTTCCAGGATCCTATGATTTTGGGTTTGAATTTGCCCTAGTTACGATCCTTGGTTTGTCAGCACTAACATTTAAAACCCGAATCAGTCTGGTGATCTTTCCCAAATTGATACGACACAATGAGATGCCAACAATTAGTATTTTGGCAGAATCACAAAGTGGTCGTATGTGTCGTATGACAGGATATAGTATGAAACGGTCAAGTATTGACGCTGACAAGTTATTGAGTGAATGGTGTGTACACAGTGAGTCACATGAAAGTCTTTCCTTTTGTCCCCCAGTCCATCAAGGAGGCCAAGTTCCGAGGGGAGGAGGCTGCCAAGCCTCTGCGATTCCTTCAAAAGATAGAGAAGCCAGTACCCCGCCCACCTACACCCTCAGTGGAGGTGCCATCACAGGTAGGAGCTGTCCTCCTTCTTCTCTGTATCCCTTACATGATTTGTTCGTCATCGTTAACATGTACATGTACATCTCCACATCTTCCTGTGATAATGGAGCACCAATTCACTGTGTCAAGCTCCTTCCCAGCGTGTGACACCTTTGTTGCCCTCCCATTACATCTCTGCCACCAGTGTGCAGCCGGCCATTACATCTGCAAATGTAACGACATAAATGTGAATAAAGTTGATGGTGATGATGATGATGATGATGGTGATGGTGATGGTGATGGTGATGACAACGACGGCGGCGGTGGCAGTGGTGGTGTTTAGGATGATGATGATGATGGTGGCGATGGTGGCGATGGTGGCGATGGTGGTGATGATGATGATGATGATGATGATGATGGTGATGGTGATGGTGATGACAACGACGGCGGCGGTGGCAGTGGTGGTGTTTAGGATGATGATGATGATGGTGGCGATGGTGGCGATGGTGGCGATGGTGGTGATGATGATGATGATGATGATGATAATGATGATGATGATGATGTTTCAGCTGGATGAAGAGAGAGAGCTGGCCACCATCTTCCTCCAGCAGGTGATCCGAGGCAGAGCCATCCAGAACATGGTAAGCCCTTCTGTAACCATGGTTACAGCACATTTAGATGGAGCATGAGGACATCAGCATCAGTCAGCACTGTGATACACCTGTAATTAGTGCTGCTGGTGCAGGTGCAGCTGTGATACACCTGTAATTAGTGCTGCTGGTGCAGGTGCAGCTGTGATGGCTCAGATGAAGTAAATGCCTGGTGCCTGAAGGTCAGGTTAAGAAGCAATAGGTTTTTTTAACAATTCAATGTTTTAATGATGTAACCAAACATGGATGTGACATACACATGGACAGTGAAGATCAGGGGAACCTGCTTATGCACAGTAGGAGTCACAAAATTAATTTGGGTATTCTGTAATGATAGAGGATAATGTCAAGTCTTATGTCAAAGAAGGGTGCCCTGGGACACCCTTGAAAAGACATAAAGTTTGTAGCTTTTTTGCAAAAAAGGACAAAATATTTGCATTGGGTAATACCCTGCCTTAAGTAAAATAATTATATTGCTACTGCTTCCATGGCATTTGATTCACTTACCATGCAATCTTGACTTGCATTTGTTCCATAAACCTAAAAACAATTAGGCGACACACTCCATCGGACTACTGTTTCCTGATTGGCTGATAATAGAGTGGGTGGAGCTTGATGTTACATTATTACGCTGACTGATGTCACTGGTTTTGTGGCCCGTGAAGATTCCAGGGTAGAATAGGTCTTCAGCAACCCACGCTTGCGGTAAAATGCCACTATGCTTGTCGTAAGAGGCGACTAACGGGATCGGGTGGTCAGGCTTGCTGACTTGGTTGAAGCATGTCATCGATCCCAATTGCATGAATCGATGCTCATGTTGGATTGTCTGGTCCAGACTCGATTATTAACAGACCGCCACCATATACCAGGAATATTGCTGAGTGCGACATTAAACAACAAACAAACAAACAAACAAACAAAAGCTGGTTTTGTATCAGGTCTACATGTTCTTATGCTTATGATTAATTAAGCCGTCTTGTTGAGCTGAAGTTGTTATTGTTGACTTAATTATATATAAAAACTGACTTCAATATTATTTTGCGTTTATGGATGTATATCTCACAAACCTGATATGCGTCCATAAATGCAAACAATATTGAAGTCAGTTAAAATATATTGGGATATAACTATTAAGTGAAATGTATAAGTCTGGTGGACAAAATTCATACATTGTGTCAGGTCCATGTGTCAGTGGGGCGGTCGGGTAGCCTGGTGGTTAATGCGTTCGTCCGTCACGCCGAAGACCCAGGTTCGAATCCCGACATGGGTACAATGTGTGAAGCCCATTACTGGTGTCCCCCGCCGTGATATTGCTGGAATATTGCTAAAAGCGGCGTAAAACCATACTCACTCACTCACTCACCATGTGTCAGTGTTTGATGTACAATGGTGACTGGGTCAGCCATGGATGAGGTGAGAGAGGTGATGGAGTGTGGATGTGTTGTCAGATGTTCGAGGGCAAGGAGAAGAGGATGGAGCTGATCCACGAGCTGCGGTCCACACACGCCCTGCAGGAGGCGGAGCAGACGGTCAAGAAGCAGGAGATGCAGGCCACCATCGCCCTCCAGCGACAGAGACGGCTTCACGAACACAAGGTGGGTTGTCTCCCCTTGGGGTTACGTAACCACGGCGATAGCAATTTGCACTGGGCTGATTGGGTGGTTTCATTTGTGTGCCATTGTACCCTAGATTGTTACTCAAGCAGTGACTGAATAAACTTTAGAATACAAGGTGGGTTGTCTCCCCTTGGGGTTACGTAACCACGGGGATAGCAATTTGCACTGGGCTGATTGGGTGGTTTCATTTGTGTGCCATTGTACCCTAGATTGTTACTCAAGCAGTGACTGAATAAACTATGAATACAAAGTGGGTTGTCTCCCCTTGGGGTTACGTAACCACGGGGATAGCAATTTGCACTTGGCTGATTGGGTGGTTTCATTTGTGTGCCATTGTACCCTAGATTGTTAATCAAGCAGTGACTGAATAAACTATGAATACAAAGTGGGTTGTCTCCCCTTAGGGTTACGTAACCACGGGGATAGCAATTTGCACTTGGCTGATTGGGTGGTTTCATTTGTGTGTCATTGTACCCTAGATTGTTACTCAAGCAGTGACTGAATAAACTTTAGAATACAAAGTGGGTTGTCTCCCCTTGGGGTTACGTAACCACGGGGATAGCAATTTGCACTGGGCTGATTGGGTGGTTTCATTTGTGTGTCATTGTACCCTAGATTGTTACTCAAGCAGTGACTGAATAAACTTTAGAATACAAAGTGGGTTGTCTCCCCTTGGGGTTACGTAACCACGGGGATAGCAATTTGCACTGGGCTGATTGGGTGGTTTCATTTGTGTGTCATTGTACCCTAGATTGTTACTCAAGCAGTGACTGAATAAACTATGAATACAAGGTGGGTTGTCTCCCCTTAGGGTTACAGGGAAGCACAGGTGTTGGATAAAAATGCCTCTTTTTTTACTAACAGGGTTAGCTTTTATGTTGCAGTAATATCCCCATGCGACATTCTTGGTCTCAATAGACCCCTTACACCCTATACTTGACGAAACTAGACTAGGGGGTGGTGGGGTAGCCTGGTGGTTAAAGTGTTCGCTCATCATGCTGAAGACCTGGGTTCGATTCCCCACATGGGTACAATGTGTGAAGCCCATTTCTGTGAATACTTCTCAAAAAGCAGTGTAAGACCATACTCACACACTCACTCACTAAACTCATCTAAAATGAGGATTGGATGTCACAACTGTATGTCAACTGGATCCTGCTCTGGATTGTTGCTCCAGCTGTCTAGAGTTTATTGGTTCGAAAGAAATCTTACTCTGGCTGTGGACTTGTGACCTAAGTTGCAAACACGGAGCCTCTGACCCATGCAGACCTCTGTGCTCACAGGTGCTTTTCATTATTACTACCGTAGGCCATTGTGTGCAGATTGATTTCTTATTCTCAGCTCCCTTGGGAGTACCGGTATATTATTCAGCGGTAGACACTAACATTTGTAGTCCACTAGTCCTTATCATGATAACATATAGCAAAACCCATATAAAGGGGACATGTCTTCTAGTCCTTATGATTGGGCAGTTTGGCAAAAACTACAGCACTAGTGCCAATTTCTGTTGCTTTATTATTATTCCCCGCCCAACAAAGTTGGCAGGGGATATAGAAACGTCCGTACGTCACATTTCGTTTCCGGAGCATAACTCAGAAACCGTTCAATATTTTTTCATGAAACTTTGCAGGTCTGTCAAGTACATGCTGAACTGGTGCCTTTTGCTATTTTGAAATTTTAGAAATTTTTATTTTTTACGTTTCCATGGCAACAAGATGGACTTAGGTTCTGTGAGGGTAGGGTTCGTTTCTGGAGCATAACTCATAAACCGTTCAATAATTTTTTAATCAAACTTTGCAGGCCTGTCAGGTACATGCTGAACTGGTGCATTTTGCTAATTAGAAATTTTAGAATTTTTTATTTTTTACGTTTCTATGCAACTAGATGGACTTAGGTTCCAAACTCTTCTTTTTTTTACAATTTCCATGACAAGTTCCACCTCGGTTAAAAAAGGTCAGGGTTTGTTTAGATTTAATTATTTTATAAATTCTGCAACAGGGGCGGGGGATATAGCCACGTTAGTGGCAAACTCTTGTTATTATTAGAGCATATTTCTGTGCTCTTAGCTAGTTGGAACCCCTGTTTAGTTTTATAAAGGTTTGCATGCCCTGATGCTAGTCAAACAAGAACATCTTGATACATAAAAAATATGTTACCAAGCAGACTGAAAAGAATTAAAAACTAGAATGAACATTTGTTATTTCTTTAAGAAAAAGACAATATTTCAAACTCTGTATCATGATTCAGTTGTCTCCCCTTGTTTTGGTGCTTCATTGGCAACACACTTGATTACTACACAGTCAGGATGAGAATTAGGCATAGTTCTGTTTAACAGACAACAGCAGCAGGCCAGTAGGAGATGAAGTCATCAATTATGCAGTAAACATCGATCAAGACGTCAAATGGGGGAAATACAGTGAATTAATTATGAGCCCAAGTGATTGAGTTCTATTGTGTCTGTAGAGAGGCAGATGGCTGAGAGTGTAGAGAGACATGGTGGCTGTAGGTTGCTCCTGGTAAAACTGCTAGTGTTCATGTAGTTGGCTTGACTTCTGGATGGGGCACTGATTCAGGTGAGACATGGTGGCTGTAGGTTGCTCCTGGTAAAACTGCTGGTGTTCATGTAGTTGGTCTCACTTCTGGATGGGGCACTGATTCAGGTGAGACATGGTGGCTGTAGGTTGCTCCTGGTAAAACTGCTAGTGTTCATGTAGTTGGACTTCTGGATGGGGCACTGATTCAGGTGAGACATGGTGGCTGTAGGTTGCTCCTGGTAAAACTGCTAGTGTTCATGTAGTTGGTCTCACTTCTGGATGGGGCACTGATTCAGGTGAGACATGGTGGCTGTAGGTTGCTCCTGGTAAAACTGCTGGTGTTCATGTAGTTGGACTTCTGGATGGGGCACTGATTCAGGTGAGACATGGTGGCTGTAGGTTGCTCCTGGTAAAACTGCTGGTGTTCATGTAGTTGGACTTCTGGATGGGGCACTGATTCAGGTGAGACATGGTGGCTGTAGGTTGCTCCTGGTAAAACTGCTGGTGTTCATGTAGTTGGACTTCTGGATGGGGCACTGATTCAGGTGAGACATGGTGGCTGTAGGTTGCTCCTGGTAAAACTGCTAGTGTTCATGTAGTTGGTCTCACTTCTGGATGGGGCACTGATTCAGGTGAGACATGGTGGCTGTAGGTTGCTCCTGGTAAAACTGCTAGTGTTCATGTAGTTGGACTTCTGGATGGGGCACTGATTCAGGTAAGACATGGTGGCTGTAGGTTGCTCCTGGTAAAACTGCTAGTGTTCATGTAGTTGGTCTCACTTCTGGATGGGGCACTGATTCAGGTGAGACATGGTGGCTGTAGGTTGCTCATGGTAAAACTGCTAGTGTTCATGTAGTTGGCCTCACTTCTGGATGGGGCACTGATTCAGGTGAGACATGGTGGCTGTATGTTGCTCATGGTAAAACTGCTGGTGTTCATGTAGTTGGCTTCACTTCTGGATGGGGCACTGATTCAGGTGAGACATGGTGGCTGTAGGTTGCTCATGGTAAAACTGCTGGTGTTCATGTAGTTGGTCTCACTTCTGGATGGGGCACTGATTCAGGTGAGACATGGTGGCTGTAGGTTGCTCATGGTAAAACTGCTAGTGTTCATGTAGTTGGCCTCACTTCTGGATGGGGCACTGATTCAGGTGAGACATGGTGGCTGTAGGTTGCTCATGGTAAAACTGCTGGTGTTCAAGTAGTTGGCTTGACTTCTGGATGGGGCACTGATTCAGGTGAGACATGGTGGCTGTAGGTTGCTCCTGGTAAAACTGCTAGTGTTCATGTAGTTGGCCTCACTTCTGGATGGGGCACTGATTCAGGTGAGACATGGTGGCTGTAGGTTGCTCCTGGTAAAACTGCTGGTGTTCATGTAGTTGGTCTCACTTCTGGATGGGGCACTGATTCAGGTGAGACATGGTGACTGTAGGTTGCTCCTGGTAAAACTGCTGGTGTTCATGTAGTTGGTCTCACTTCTGGATGGGGCACTGATTCAGGTGAGACATGGTGGCTGTAGGTTGCTCATGGTAAAACTGCTAGTGTTGATGTAGTTGGCTTCACTTCTGGATGGGGCACTGATTCAGGTGAGACATGGTGACTGTAGGTTGCTCATGGTAAAACTGCTGGTGTTCATGTAGTTGGTCTCACTTCTGGATGGGGCACTGATTCAGGTGAGACATGGTGGCTGTAGGTTGCTCCTGGTAAAACTGCTGGTGTTCATGTAGTTGGTCTCACTTCTGGATGGGGCACTGATTCAGGTGAGACATGGTGACTGTAGGTTGCTCATGGTAAAACTGCTAGTGTTCATGTAGTTGGTCTCACTTCTGGATGGGGCACTGATTCAGGTGAGACATGGTGGCTGTAGGTTGCTCATGGTAAAACTGCTAGTGTTGATGTAGTTGGCTTCACTTCTGGATGGGGCACTGATTCAGGTGAGACATGGTGGCTGTAGGTTGCTCATGGTAAAACTGCTGGTGTTCATGTAGTTGGACTTCTGGATGGGGCACTGATTCAGGTGAGACATGGTGGCTGTAGGTTGCTCATGGTAAAACTGCTGGTGTTCATGTAGTTGGCTTCACTTCTGGATGGGGCACTGATTCAGGTGAGACATGGTGGCTGTAGGTTGCTCATGGTAAAACTGCCGGTGTTCATGTAGTTGGCCTCACTTCTGGATGGGGCACTGATTTAGGTGAGACATGGTGGCTGTAGGTTGCTCATGGTAAAACTGCTAGTGTTGATGTAGTTGGCCTCACTTCTGGATGGGGCACTGATTCAGGTGAGACATGGTGGCTGTAGGTTGCTCATGGTAAAACTGCCAGTGTTCATGTAGTTGGCTTCACTTCTGGATGGGGCACTGATTCAGGTGAGACATGGTGGCTGTAGGTTGCTCATGGTAAAACTGCTAGTGTTGATGTAGTTGGCCTCACTTCTGGATGGGGCACTGATTCAGGTGAGTCATGGTGGCTTTAGGTTGCTCATGGTAAAACTGCTAGTGTTCATGTAGTTGGCCTCACTTCTGGATGGGGTCGTGTCGATGACTGTATGGTATCAGTCTGAGCCACAGACTGAAGATCTGAGTGGTATTAATGGGTATGTTTCTCATGGACAGGTTAGAGGCTTGACTCCATCATGTTAATTACTATCACTGCAGCAGACATGTTTGACTGACCACTGTGTATGATGACATGTTTGACTGACCACTGTGTATGATACAGCAGACATGTTTGACTGACCACTGTGTATGATGCAGGAGACATGTTTGACTGACCTCTGTGTATGATGCAGGAGACATGTTTGACTGACTACTGTGTATGATGACATGTTTGAGTGACAACTGTGTATGATCCAGGAGACATGTTTGACTGACCACTGTGTATGATGACATGTTTGACTGACTACTGTGTATGATGACATGTTTGAGTGACCACTGTGTATGATCCAGGAGACATGTTTGACCGACCACTGTGTATGACATGTTTGACTGACCATTGTGTATGATGACATGTTTGACTGACCACTGTGTATGATGCAGGAGACATGTTTGACTGACCACTGTGTATGATGACATGTTTGACTGACCACTGTGTATGATGCAGGAGACATGTTTGACTGACCACTGTGTATGATGCAGGAGACATGTTTGACTAACCACTGTGTATGATGACATGTTTGACTGACCACTGTGTCTGACGCAGGAGACATGTTTGACCGACCACTGTGTATGATGACATGTTTGACTGACCACTGTGTCTGATGCAGGAGACATGTTTGACCGACCACTGTGTATGATGACATGTTTGAGTGACCACTGTGTATGACGACATGTTTGACTGACCACTGTGTATGATGACATGTTTGACTGACCACTGTGTATGATGACATGTTTGACTGACCACTGTGTCTGACGCAGGAGACATGTTTGACCGACCACTGTGTATGATGACATGTTTGACTGACCACTGTGTATGATCCAGGAGACATGTTTGACTGACCATTGTGTATGATGACATGTTTGACTGACCACTGTGTATGATGCAGGAAACATGTTTGACTGACCACTGTGTATGATGACATGTTTGACTGACCACTGTGTATAATGCAGGAGACATGTTTGACTGACCACTGTGTATGATGCAGGAGACATGTTTGACTGACCACTGTGTATGATGCAGGAGACATGTTTGACTGACCACTGTGTATGATGCAGGAGACTGACTACTGTGTATGATGACATGTTTGACCGACCACTGTGTATGATGCAGGAGACATGTTTGACTGACCACTGTGTATGATGCAGGAGACATGTTTGACTGACCACTGTGTCTGACGCAGGAGACATGTTTGACCGACCACTGTGTATGATGACATGTTTGAGTGACCACTGTGTATGACGACATGTTTGACTGACCACTGTGTATGATGACATGTTTGACTGACCACTGTGTATGATGACATGTTTGACTGACCACTGTGTATGATGACATGTTTGACTGACCACTGTGTCTGACGCAGGAGACATGTTTGACCGACCACTGTGTATGATGACATGTTTGAGTGACCACTGTGTATGACGACATGTTTGACTGACCACTGTGTATGATGACATGTTTGACTGACCACTGTGTATGATGACATGTTTGACTGACCACTGTGTCTGACGCAGGAGACATGTTTGACCGACCACTGTGTATGATGACATGTTTGAGTGACCACTGTGTATGACGACATGTTTGACTGACCACTGTGTATGATGACATGTTTGACTGACCACTGTGTATGATGACATGTTTGACTGACCACTGTGTCTGACGCAGGAGACATGTTTGACCGACCACTGTGTATGATGACATGTTTGACTGACCACTGTGTATGATGACATGTTTGAGTGACCACTGTGTATGACGACATGTTTGACTGACCACTGTGTATGATGACATGTTTGACTGACCACTGTGTATGATGACATGTTTGAGTGACCACTGTGTCTGACGCAGGAGACATGTTTGACCGACCACTGTGTATGATGACATGTTTGACTGACCACTGTGTATGACGACATGTTTGACTGACCACTGTGTATGATGACATGTTTTACTGACCACTGTGTATGATGCAGGAAACATGTTTGACTGACCACTGTGTATGATGACATGTTTGACTGACCACTGTGTATGATGCAGGAGTCCCTGGTGGATGAGGCACTTAGCCAGGTGGAGGGCTCCAGCCTGGGAGACATGTTTGACTTCCTCAGCAAGGAGCTGATACGCCTGCAGGAGGAGCGGCGGATCCATGCCTTCTCCATGCTGGCAGAGAGACAGCGCCGTATCCGGGAGGCGGAGGAGAGCGGGAGGAGACAGGTGGAGGAGAGGAGAAGGAGGGAAGAAGATGAGATCTTTAAACAGGTGAGAAGAAAGTGCCACCAAAGGCATGAAACAACGAAAGCATTGACGCTTGTTCTAACACAAAACAGGAAATTCTTAGACAAGGGTACTGAAGTTCCAATAATGGCTGAAACGTAATTGAAAATATTAGAATTTGAACAGAATAGCCTCAGTTGATATCTATGTGAAAACTGTTGAACTGAGAACTAAAATCATCAAACAGAATTTGAATGGAATATCCACAATATATTTGTGAAAACAGTGGAAAAAATAACTGAAGCATCAAATCCCCCTTAGGGAGATACTAGGGCAGAATAGGTCCAATGCTTGTCACAGGAGCTGACCAATAAGGATTGGGTGGTTGTGTGATTTGGTTTATATGTCATTGCGACCCTGTTGGATTATTTGCTCATGCTGTCAACCCAGATTAACCTGCCCCAGATCATTAACAGCCTTCTGTGATTTAGCTGGAATATCGCTGACTGTGGCATAAAACAATATTCACTCCCTCATCAGACTGATGCTCACTGCTTTGTCCAGGGTAGAACAGGTTTAGTCCAGGGAATTGCCAAGTGCAGGGGACGCTCATTAGTTAGGGGTACCAGGCATGATGGCATGTGTAGCTGTGTTTTTCCTGCCCCCAGGCGGTGAAGGTCCATCAGAACTCCGTGGACACCTTCCTGGAAGACATCATCCTCGGCTCCATCAACAACACCGCCGACCAGCAGGCCCGGCAAGAGATCCAGGAGATAGCCGTGACCATCAACGATGTGGCATATGACATCGAGGAGAAGTAAGTTAACATGTTCCCCTGACACACATGATAGTGTTTCCCTGACACATCTGAATTGTGTTTCCCTGACACACCTGATTGTGTTTCCCTGACACACATTATTGTGTTTCCCTGACACACCTGATTGTGTTTCCCTGACACACCTGATTGTGTTTCCCTACCACACCTGATTGTGTTTCCCTACCACACCTGATTGTATTTCCCTGACACACATGATTGTGTTTCCCTGACACACATGATTGTGTTTCCCTGACACACCTGATTGTGTTTCCCTGACACACATGATTGTGTTCCCCTGACACACCTGATTGTGTTTCCCTGACACACATGATTGTGTTTCCCTGACACACCTGATTGTGTTTCCCTGACACACCTGATTGTGTTTCCCTGACACACATGATTGTGTTTCCCTGACACACATGCTTGTGTTTCCCTACCACACCTGATTGTGTTTCCCTGACACACCTGATTGTGTTCCCCTGACACACATGCTTGTGGTATCCCTGACAGTCACATTATTCTGTTTCCCTGACAGTGTCACATTATTGTGTTTTCAGACGGTCCCAGCTGGAGTCGGAGGAGATTGTGGCTGACCTTGTCCACTGCTTCCTGCTTCCAGAGGTGCAGAAGACAACCGTCCGAGAGAAAGGTAAGGGTTACCTCCCCTGTTCTACCTGCCATCAGAAGGTTTATCCTGTGATTCAAAGGTGTTCAGATAATTGCAAACCTAAACAAAATAATTTAATAATTCTATTGTTACCAGAGTCCATTGTTTCCTTTTGAAACCTTTTGGGGGATCCGAAATATTCCTTGTATCATGTTTTGAATTGAAATCACAGTGTATGAATATTATGTTTAAGTATTGATATGGATCCTGAAATATGTACTTTTTGTCAATCAAAATGTATGAACATTTTTCTGAAATAATATGATTTCTCCAAAATAACTGACTTGAAAATCTCAATGTGTGAATGTATTTTATGATTTATAATTTTGATTTTTCAAAATATTTATATTACAAAATGATTATGATTCAAACTTATTAATTTGGGTCGTTCCTGATTCAGTGAGGAGACAACAGAGGAAGTATTTGCTCGCTGCCCACAAACAAATTCACAAGGAAGGAGAGGAGATCATTGACATGAACGCCAAGGCTGTTCCTTCCTCCGCCCCACGACTTCTGACCGCCGGGCAGGAGGAGGAAGAGTTGATTGAAGCACCCGTCAGGGACTCGGATAGTCGTCATAGCGACACAAGCGTCATTCTCCCAGAAAAACCAAGAACAGTTTAAAGACATTATTACAAGAACAATTGAATGTTTTGTACAGTTGTCAAGAAGATAGGATTCCTTGTTTTGCAAACACATGTCCTGAATATATATATCAACGTTTGTTTGTTTTGTGTTCTCTGATCTTACAACAGACTGATTAGAATCAGTATTAAATGATTTAAAGAAGTTGAAACAAATGCAAGATTATTACATCTGAAGTCATCTAAAACCATTCATTTCAAGGATATGTTGTCAATGTTAACACATCATAATCCTTTATTTATTCATAATGATTTAGTTCTGTTTTTTTATTTTTTGGATATTAATTGAACCACTTTTTTTAATCAAATGACAATATCAAGTTTTGTTGTGGACATTTTTTATCTGACTATGTGAATGTATAGCATCATGATATGGTATATTGGAAATTGAATATTGAAGCATGATGTGACTTTTGTACAGACCTTTCTTATGTGTACATACCATTGTCTGTGATAGTGTTCTCACATTCCGTCCGTGATGGCCAGTGTAAATACATATTTATCAACACTCAGTTGGTTGTGTCGTTGTTTTCCTTAAGCACCAGACTGAGGGAGTTTTGCGTTGCTCTGAACGGTATTTCAGTTATATCATGGCGTGTCAGCTTGATGTGGGAGGAGTGAGTGAGTTGGATTTAACACTGCTCTGAACGGTATTTCAGTTATAACATGGTGTGTCAGCTTCACGGGGGAGGAGTGAGTGAGTTGGGTTTATCGCTGCTTTTAACAGTAATCCAGATATATCACGCTGTGTCAGCTGGACGGGGGAGGAGTGAGTGAGTGAGATGGGTTTAGCGCTGCTTTGAACAGTATTTCAGTTATATCACAGCGTGTCAGCCTGATGTGGGAGGAGTGAGTGAGTGAGTTGGGTTTATCACTGCTTTGAACAGTATTTCAGTTATATCACAGCGTGTCAGCCTGATGTGGGAGGAGTGATGAGTGAGTTGGGTTTATCACTGCTTTGAACAGTATTTCAGTTATATCATGGCGTGTCAGCTTGATGTGGGAGGAGTGAGTTGGGTTTATCACTGCTTTGAACAGTATTTCAGTTATATCACGGCGTGTCAGCTCAATGTGGGAGGAGTGAGTGAGTTAGGTTTAACTCTGCTTTGAACAGTATTTCAGTTATATCACGGTGTGCCAGCCGGATGTGGGAGGAGTGAGTGAGTGAGTTGGGTTTAACGCTGCTTTGAACAGTATTTCAGTTATATCACGCTGTGCCAGCCGGATGTGGGAGGAGTGAGTGAGTTGGGTTTAACTCTGCTTTGAACAGTATTTCAGTTATATCACGGCGTGTCAGCTCGATGTGGGAGGAGTGAGTGAGTTGGGTTTAACTCTGCTTTGAACAGTATTTCATTTATATCACGCTGTGTCAGCTTGATGTGGGAGGAGTGAGTGAGTTGGGTTTAACTCTGCTTTGAACAGTATTTCAGTTATATCACGGCGAGTCAGCTTGATGTGGGAGGAGTGAGTGAGTTGGGTTTAACTCTGCTTTGAACAGTATTTCAGTTATATCACGGTGTGTCAGCTCGATGTTGGAGGAGTGAGTGAGTTGGGTTTAACGCTGCTTTGAACAGTATTTCAGTTATATCACGGCGTGTCAGCTTGATGTGGGAGGAGTGAGTGAGTTGGGTTTAACTCTGCTTTGAACAGTATTTCAGTTTTATCACGGTGTGTCAACTTGATATGGGAGGAGTGAGTGAGTGAGTTGGGTGTAACGCCACTTTGAACCGTATTTCATTTTATCACAGAGCGACAGCTTGATCTGGGAGGAGTGAGTGATTGAGTTGGGTTTATTGCTGCTCTGAACAGTATTTCAGATATATCACGGCGTGTGAGCTTGATGTGGGAGAAGTGAGTGAGTGAGTTTAGTGTTACAATACTTATAAAAGCTTGATGTGGGAAGGAAGAGAGGGATGCAGGTCTGGTGCAGACAAACCAAGAATCAAACTCGGGGAAATTCTGCAACCATCAGGTTTTGGCATGCCTAAGGGACATAGATCTACATCATGAATTGTGGTGTCTTACATGACTGGGACACTCCAACTGTAGACATTTACCACGTTCGTGAAGACAATCCTGACACAACTAAGGAAGGCAACTCTTCACCGCCTACTATGGCACCATAGACTACTTTGCCACCTGTGTCGCTTAATTCATAACCCCAGATTTATAGTTAAGAGATAAATATTATGTGTTTTTAGATTTGAGGTATATTTTCAGTATTTGATAACCGAAAGTTTGAGATGTTAAAATTGCAGGGCACTGATTACTCAATAAAACCCACAAATCTGAAAATACCTGATGTTTATCTCGATTAGGGGCATGGGTGCTTTGTCGTATACGAAAGTCATCAGTCATTTACTGAAGCTCTTCTTACATGAACTCTCACAGTTAGAGGGGCGGTCGGGTAGCCTAGTGGTTAAAGCGTTCGCTCGTCACGCCGAAGACCCGGGTTCGATTCCTGACATTGGTACAATGTGTGAAGCCCATTTCTGGTGTCCCCCGCCGTGATATTGCTGGAATATTGCTAAAAGCGGCGTAAAACCATACTCACTCACTCACTCACTCTCACAGTTAGAGACAGACATGATGGCAGTCTGGAAGATATCTGTGATAACAACTGGCCTGGTTATCAGAATGTACTGTTAACATGATGCTACTGATGAAGGAGTGAGTGAGTTTGGTTTTACGCAGCCTTGAGCAATATTCCAGCAATATCACAGTGGGGGACACCGGAAATAGGCTTCACACATTGTACCCATTTCGGAAATCGAACCCGGGTCTTCGGCGTGATGAGCTAACACTTTAAACACCAGGCTACCTGACAACCCCTACCAATGAAGGAAGTACATGTTCTGAATGCAGATCATTTCAAGGGACCATATGATGCAACAGGCTTCCTAACCTTGCTCCAAGGCTGTACTGAATGAAATGTCCATTGATGTGTAGTAATTCTATCCTCCTAATAGGCAAGTCTAGATATGTGGATAGTACAAGCCTTCAGTCTCTTATAGGGACAACTTGTTCTTATTATTTACATTATCTAGAAATTATGATTTACACTAATAATTATTGCCTTAGAGACTTGTGCAAGTCTACAGGCTTCCCACAGACAACAGTAATGGCAACTTGGAACAAATATGAAACTTGTAACACAAAATAACATGTTCAGAAAAATTACTAGCATGTAACTTCTTTCCAATTCTTACAGTATATTGTGAAGAATTTTCTATTCACGTTTTGAAATAGATTTTGTGCTTCTCAAGAACAAAATCTATTTATTTTTCACTGATATTTAACACAATAATCTGGGATCTGCTCATTTCTTCTTTTCTGAGACGGTTCAAACAATTACAGAAACCTCGCTGCCTCTCCAGTATTTGTGGCTGGAGTTTGCATACAAAGGGAGGCCACTCATGTAAACTCGAGACCTGGGTACCGTTTCACAAAGCAGTCGTAAGTCTTACGTGCGTGTAAAACTGGCGTAACTCGGAAATACTGAACTAGGGGCGTTTCACAAAGCTAGTGTAATATTACGTCCGTGTAAAATTGGCGTAAACTCTACGTGTGGTCTTGGGGTGGTGTAAATATTTACGCAAGCGATAAAGATGGCGTTCAATCCAAACACGGACGAGATTGTCAAAAAAGTATGTAAGCGAGAACGTGTTTTCCGCGACAGGTCGAACCCCCTCGACGATTTGGATGATCATGACATCATCGAGAGGTACCGCCTATCACGACACATGATATTTTCTATCATTGGTAAAGTGAGTGACAGACTTGAACATCAAACCCAGCGTTCCCATGCAATACCACCTTACCTTAATGTTATAATTGCTCTGAGATACTTCTCCAAGGGTGGGTTTTACAGTGAGATTGCCGATATCCACGGTGTGAGTAAATCCTCCGCCTGCAGAGCAATCCACGCAACAACAGACGCATTATGTGCAACCATGGGTGATTTTGTAATTCCCACAATGCCTTCCACTCAGAAGAGTACCAAAGAATCATTCTTCGACATAGCTGGATTCCCTAAAGTACTCGGTGCAATTGACTGCACACTCGTACCCATAATGGCGCCGAAACGTGACGAAGTAGCCTACGTTTGTCGGAAGGGTTACCATGCACTAAACATACAGGCAGTATGTGATGCCAACATGAGGTGACTATGAATATCTGTGTTGAGTATCTGTTTTGATAGGACCAAATAACTAAAACATCAACTAGTCTAATAATGATTTTTTTTTTATGTTTGCAATAGTTATTATAATGCTTTATCTCAACTTATTTAATACATAAGGTCACAAACATTCGAAAAATTTATATTTGTGTATTATTTTTAATTAATGCCTACCATTAAAGTCACAGGTTAATGAAGATGTAGCAATTGCTGCTGTGCTCATATCAGGATCAGCCTCCAAAGCATAGTCCAGAAAAGACCCATCAACTTGAAATATAAATGGTTCAACACATGAATGATGACTTATGTAAATTTGCTTATCTGGGAGCATATCAATGAGTTGACTATGCCATGAAGATAATGAAAAAAAACATTTATATGGTTTGTGAACCACAGTCACTATTCTTAAATCAGTACTGTCAAGAGGAATGGCATGGAAATATTTACCTCCCGAATCAAATCCTCCAGCAATTCCTTCAATCTGGCAAGGAGGAATCAAACTCACAATCTATAATTAAAGAAATGAAGAACACAGTTACTTCATGAAATATGAGACAAGTAAATAACTAAATGGTATAAGTAGTTTGCATAAATATTTCCCCTATGCCAGTAGAAATAAAGTCAATTTAAGCTTTTTATAAGTCTGTTATATTATTATATATATAACACAAATAACTAAGACAGGTAACATTTGTTTTTCTAGGTATCATATCACAATTTCTGGCCCAATCCATATGTTCATGCATAATCCATAGGTCATGCATTTGGGCAATTAGACTATTACATATGATCTGACATATTCTTCCTGTTGTGTTCCATACCTTCTGTTCAACAGTAGTGAGTTGTGTAGGAGGGCCACCTCCACCAGTTCTTACACTCTCCTTCCTCCTTGTCACCTCCTTCTTCTTGGCTGCAGCCCTGAGGTCCTGCCATTTCTTTTTTCAGCTGAGGCACAGTCCTTACCTCCGTGTTATTGGCGTTGATCCTGTAAACAAAAATTATTTCAAAATTATAACATGTTTTGCTCGATGTCACCCATGTTTGACAATTGCCTTGTTGTTGTCTACCATTAAATATGAAGATGTTTAAAAATAAGTGATTCTTGCGTTTTTTGTTCCTAATCACTGAGCGGACATTTAGGAAATTTACGTTTAGTCTATATGCAATTTGTTTTATAATGTGAAAATAGTGATACTTCCGCGACCTCTTATATGTGTGCATACATGTATATGCACTTATGCATATTTCAGATCTGTATCCCGAGCAATAACAATAATTCCCACCTTTTCAAATTTTGCACTATCAAAGAAATATAGGCCTCTTGCAAG